TGAGTAATGAAACACAGATGGCATGAGAGATGACTGTTTTTTGAGAAAACAAGTGAAAACATACAACAGCTTTCGACATTCAGTGCAAATAAAAACGTCATTTAACATTCAGCACAAAAACTCTTGACAGTCTGCTATCCTGAAAATGAATTATCTGCATTAAGTATTGGATTTCAGCAACTTTACTTGTATGTCATTATAGCCTATTTTAAAAATAATCTGGGGACATGTTTTTGTTTCCAGACGACAAAGTTGCATATGAGAAAGATTGAGATGTTTGGACAAAATGTAGACTTTCCAACTTTACCCATTGTGTCATATCAGAAAACGGACTTACTTTAAAACGTAGTTGATGTCCCGTCAATAGCGGTGTCATATCAAAAGGCGCTTGTTTCATTTAGAAGGGCATGGAGATATTTTGTTGTCTGATTTGTTGTGTTTGAAAGTTACCTCTTCTTCTTTATGTTCTTTAGGAAGTTTTTATATTTTGCTTGTATCCTTTCAAACAAAACATTTACTTAGTTGTAACAGAGTATTATCCCGTTCTGATATAGTTTGACTTATGGCTCAGAAAGGACTTCTACCATTGCTTGTCTGTAACTCGTCTCTTTGTCTTAAGTGCCAGTTATAGTTCAGTGATTGCCCTCTTGGAGTAATCTGCACCCTGCTTCCTGGAAAGGGTTTGAGTGTGTGTTCAATGAGGCAGTAATCCAAATCACAGTTTGTGTGACCTCAGCTCACAGCTTTGTGTTTTCATCCGTTACTATAGCGTCCCTTTTGCTATTTACAATACATAAACGTTGTAGTTTAATGACCAGGGCCCACGCACCAGCCCTGACTGGCTGTGGGAATCATTTGGAACTCTGGGGCATATTATGTTGAGAAGAACAAGATGTTTTTGGTAATCCTTTGTTTTAGGAAATAAGGTTGGCGAAAGACGGAGGATTGGAGACACTTAATTATGACTAAAGTGAACCCTGTCCGGTTTTATTTCAACAGAGGTTTTGCAGGAACATTGGGTGACTTTATCCAGGCAAAACAAACAATGATGAGGGAATCAATTTGGATTAGAAAACATAGTTATTTTGGTAAGGCTCATTGTCTTTTCAGCATCAATTTAGTTTTGCTATGAGCAGTAAAAGTGTTGTTGTCAGCTTGTGGTCAGAGCATCCTGGACCATGGCTGCTTTTGTGGTTGTGGTCGGTCAGATTTGACGGTGAGTGACTGCGCAGGCGGAGGGGAAAGATGACGAATCAGAGTCAGTTTTAACGACGAGCAGACAGACTAGAGGAAACCAAGCCTCTGATGTTAAACTGTGAACAGGGAGGTCAGTGTTTACTTCAGTTTTTCCACAATCTGCTTCGCATTATCTTCTTCCTCATTTTGAATGTTTAACAAAAAGAATTGTCACACTGGATGTTTCTTTTTGAACCTCTCCACATCGTGACTCTAAATGTAGCCAAACGTTATGCTCTACAAACCTCAAGATATTTTTTACTTGATCAGGATTTGTGCATCTGGGCCCCGTTAGTGTGACAGATATTTGAGAATGTGTGAACGGCTTTCGTCTTGACTGTCTCCAATCCATCTGGCCATTTCTCATGTCAACAGCAAGTCAGGGAATGTGCAGAGGTGCCATAACCATAAGGTCTCTTTACTTAATGATCTATATTTGAGTCCCCTATAGACTATCACTTATGTAATGCATCATTTATTGGGTTCCTTTTTTTAAATGCAAACTGTGATAAATCTAGCTTTTTCTTACAAAAGTTGAAAGTAGAAAAAGTAACAATATAATTGACGTAAGCATGGTTTTAGTAATTTGCAGGTTATAGGACACCAAATAAAAACTGAGTTACAATAGTAACACGAGTCTTATAGTGATGTCACTATGTTACAGAGGTATACAAAGGAGTCCCTTTAACATCTGGATGTCTTTTTTCCCTGTTGGTATTTGGTATAATCTACCATAATTAAGGCATCATTTGACTTTTGTTACTGGCATTAAATGGTTGGTCTGATTCATACTCTGATTCAAATGTTCTTTGTTCATTCCACTTTAACTGTATTAATTTAGACCAAGCTAGTAGGGTACTGATTGCGTAATATATCAGCAGAAATGAGCTTTTTTCCTGATATATCATGTTGGTATAATGTTTTTCTAGATAGTTTGTTCATGTTTACCTTTTTAGGTTTTTAGAAAAGTTCTACTAACAGATATATATTTATTGTATTTACTCCTAAATATCAATATTAATAATGTCTTATTGGGCTCCTCGTATAGTTCCTAGTAAAGCCACTTACAGTATATTAACTTACTCAAAATAAACCTGTCAATAGAGTAAATGAATGGCAAACGGCATCTCGAAGGGAAGGGAACAAGCCCTTGAGTCTTAACTTATGCGCATGACATATGTAGGGACATCACAAGAAACAGGAAACAGGAAACAAATAAAAACCCCGCCAATTTGAGCCTAGAGCTTAACTCAGCAGTCCTGTCCAGCATCTGTCTATACTCCTTTTTTTTCGTACTCATCCAGGAAGTGCCCCACTGGGAAATGAACAGCACGCAGGTCACAACCCCTGATAAAGCCTTAGACAGCCCACTGGTGTGTGGACTCTCAGGGGTTGAAGAGACTACAGCTGCTCCATCTGAAGTCTGTCTGCTCACGGAGGAGCTGTGAAACTGAACTCTGTCCTTTTGTTGTTGTGTTATCGGCCACGGTTTTTGTGTTTTGCCAGGTGTCCTTCATATTTGACAGCCAGCACAAAATCCTCCACTTATCCACTGAGCATCTGAAGATCATCAGTCAACGTGCACTGAAATGGAAAATCCTTTTGGCCTGTGTAATAGTTTATTCCCTTACAAAGTGTTGTGGTATCATTTCAGCGCAGCAGATTTGTAAACACTGTCAGCCTGTTTGGATTGGAATTGCAAATTTGGGGCAGCAACGCTTTGATTACTGTGAACTGATGAACCGACCATACACTCGCAATATTGTGGAAGCATGCGAGAGCTGACACTTCAAACATGTCAGCACTTATGAATGATTCAGACATGCAATCATTTATCGTGGCTGTATTCCCAGAGTGCACTTCTCTGCTTACAGTTAAACCGGTGGCGAGGGAAGACTTTGGTAACTCCTCATACACAGCTGTGTTAGCAGCTTTGTGCTTAGTAACTGGCACCACACCCAGAGCTGAAGCTGCAGTTTTCAAGGATAACGTTGATGCACTATAATAAGGCTCTTTACACATAGAGCATCAGCTTGTTTTTGGGCTCTAATGGCTGAGGTCACTCTCAGGTGTGTGTTGCAATAAGTAAAAACCAACAAACCACCACAGATATTTTCTTCCCATGACTCTACAGTTTTTTGTCGTCTTCTTGCTTATCATCATGATTTATTTTTTGCCCCACATCATTTTAGCTTTGGACATTTCTTTTAGCAAGGAATCACTTATAGTTGATCCAATTTATGCAAAGATGTCAAGCACTAAGATTGATTTCCACATTTTTCAGTCCAGCATGAAGCAAAACGTAAAGACTATTACTTGGCCAGAGAGGCGGTGGTTTCATACTGTATGTGTTGGCAAAGAGTTTAAACTGTAGATTACATTTCAACATCTTTGTCTATGCTTATTCGAAGCTTTGAATCAATTTGATTGCAGTTCACTGAATTATCTTGGACCTATCTAAACTATAATGTGATTATATGTCAGTGTTTTGTTTGTAGGCTTTCACCGGATTGATGAGTTTTTAAGATGTAAACTAAAATCAATACATATTTGAGTTTGAAAAACCTATTCTTTATACCAATTCCTTAGACTATTTATTTTTTAAGAAACACTCTGGTGGACAAACAATGTAGAACGGACACAGTTTTTTGGCAGCCGTATAAACTATTGTATCTGCGGTAATCAAATGTCTACGTAAGTTCTACGGTAATAAAATTCAAACAATTTTTAACTCAGTTAAATCTAGCTTTTTACCGTTATTTGGAAGTTCTCTCAGGTTGGCAGAGCTTTCTTGAGACTTCCCTTCCAGCTGAATTTGGTGTTTAACTGAGTACTTACACCGGGTGATCATTAACAATCCCCTTACACTCATAATATTGAGTCAAGTTGTTAACTTTGGCATCTAAACTCCCAATAGAGGCCCTGACCATTCAGTCAGCGCTGGACTTTTAATTTATTGAAGTATTACCTCTTGTATTAAACTAGATGTGTAGTGAAATCTTTGGCACTGAATGGTCCTGACTCTTAACAGGTTGATGAATAATGGGCATGTGACTCACGGATGGTGATAGTTATGTATTGAACCCTTTGTGCTGCCAGGTTGAATTAAAGCCATTCCTTCATATTGCAAATGTAAAGTCAGTTTCATTCCAGGTACTTGAAAAACAGAACGCCCCCCCCGAAACCTTTCCACACACACTTCCTGAATTGAAAATGAAACGCAGCTGTGTTCCCGTCAGCGCTGTGGATCTCACCACTCATCTGTCATGAAAAATATCCTCGGAAAGAAGTACTCCACAAGTGTCCCCGCTAGCTAAGGCCTTTTTAGTTTTACTCCAAAATCCACTAACCCTGCCATAAGAAGATATATATATGTATAATATATATGAAGAGGCAGCGTTTGACGTTAAAAGTACAAAAAGTACATTAAACATCGTTCCTTCAGTCTGATTCTTTGTGCACACAAGAGAACTGAAACAGAGGAAGTTTTCCGAGTGGAGCCTGAGTTCAGGAAAATAAGCTTGTCGCGGAGTGTAAACAAATCAGTGGGGGGGATTGTTTTTATGTCCCCTGCCCCTTCACCACCCGGGCCCTAAGGAAACTGCCGGACTCTTTAATGTAGACTCCAGGACTGTTTGTCCAGATGTGGGACTCCTGGATCTGGACAGTCCTCAGCTAACACCAAATTCTACCCACATGTCCTTTTAAGACCTTTCTGTTCAGGAACAATGTATTATATGATGATGTCTTCTTTTTGTATTCAGGGATCCAGGAGGGCACCCAGTGCACCAAGTGTAAGAATGATTGGGCGCTGAAGACCTCCATAGCTCTGCTCTATGTGCTGTGTACCCTCCTCACCATCGCTGTGGCTGTGCTTGGATATAAAGGTAAGAAGGCCCCATACACTCCGTCACTGTGACCTGCTGGGTACATTTACAGAATGAGTTTTCTAAACATAACTTCAATGATGCATTTTGTTTTATAAAATGATTTGCTTACAGTGTGCTGAGAGAGCAGGGCCCAAACATATTATTGTTTGGTTTGTCTTTGTTCTGCCAAAAGAATAAAAGCATTACTGAGTGTGTAATGACTGTATGAGAACACTGAGAGCTTGTGTGTGTTTGTGTGAAAGAAAGAGTTCTTCAATCATGTGACCAAGCATTACATGAATGTTCTTTCGCAATGTTCCTTCATTATTATATCATTATGTCATGGCAATCGATTAGTAATGGAAAATATGAGGAGAAGACCGCAACACCTATAAGAAAGAATCCAGAAGTAGAATAAATATAATGCCTTTTGTTAGATACACTTATTGGCATTCTCTATATGTCTGTTATACATATCTACAACCAGCAGCTGGCTAGCTTAGCTTAGCATAAAGATTGGGAGCAGAGGGAATCAGCTCTGTCTTAAGGTTACATAATCCACTATCAGTGCCGTTCAAAACCCCTTACCTCTGTACAAAGTCAGGCTAGCCGTTTCCCCCCATTTAAGTATTTTCGCTAAACTAAGCTAACTATCTACTGGGAATGGCTTCCTATTTAGCCTACAGACATGAAATCGTATTGATAATCAAATCTAACTCTTGGCAAGAAAGACAGTAATTGAGTATTTTCCCTAATGTTGACAAATGTCTGAATGTGAATAATTATGTATCCATCAAGATACCATAGTTTCTTTGCAGTTTTTGTCAACGTTCTGGGATATCTGTCTGCTGGTTGCTCAAAGCAATGGAGTTGAACGAAACGGTGTTTTCAATACATCTGTGGAAAGACTTTCAACAGACATCACTAACTAACATTGTTATAGAGACTTTATATTAAGTAGAAAGTAGATCCAGGGAAAACAGTTAAACAGTAAAAAGGAAAGGCAATTTCATTCACATCCGTTGTATTAAGTTGGAGCCTGAAAAGGCTATTTGCTTGGCAATTTGGGATAAAAGCCCCTTAAAGCCCCTACCATGTCCCCTTTTCCTGTGCTTGAGCCGGTCTGTCTCCACCCTACAACATTCTCTCAGTTTATTTTACCAACACCCGCAAAGCTCACTCCAGCAGGGAGGGTTTCAGGAACTGAACTTCCTGGTTAGCTTTTTAAAAAAAAAATTCAGGTCGAGAAACGGTCCCACCGTCTTTTCTGAGAATTGAACTCTGAATGCTATAATTGTGCTAAACACTCCAATATGCGACTGCTTTTATCCCCTACTTATTTTCAGGATGTGAAAGTTAACATGTTCAGGGGTTATCTGAGGGTTTTAACTGCATCAACAATGATGTCCCCTTACTCTCTGAGCTCAGTCGGTCCTTCTTGTTCCATGGTGCATGTTTTCATGCAGGCCTAATTGATCCCATATGAGCAGTGAGTGAACTCAGTGCAACTCCAGCAGAACCCACTGAAATTGGGTTTTTACTGGCACTGAAGCCCCGCTCTGTCAAGGGAACCACAGCTCAGGCTAAACACGCTCCCAGCTCCAGATGGTAATGCTGTGAGACCCTGAGGACTCTATGCACTTAACATCTGTGCCTCTCTCTGTCCTCCATCACTGACCCACACCAACATCCTCAATGTGACTCTTTTGTTTTGATGCAATTTAACCTTAAAGGTTTGGCAGGGATTCAGTGACCCCTGTCCTCTCTCCTGCGACGTGTGTCTCTTGATTGACATGACCAAAAGCAGTGTGAGGTCATTCTCTGAGTCTGGACTCTAGAGGATTCAAGTCCCATTCATTTCCCTCTAAGACAGTAAGAAAATAGACTGGAGGAGGACATGACCTGGCATTTTACCTCCCTCCCTGCATGAATGTGCTTTTATTCTGGAACACCAACTGGTTTTTCAATATAAACTAAATGTTCCTACTTCAGCATTGCTTGGGTGGCTAATGTTAGCAGAGTTTAGTTGCTGTGTAGCTGAGTCAGTTTTGGGCTCTCCTCTACTTTTGCTACTTTTACCTTAATACTTTAACATGTCACAATAAAACACTTGAATGGTTTTTATTACAAAAGTAAAACAACATGCTACCTCACCGTTTTGACTTCACCTCCAGGCTAGATGCTGTGACACTTTTTCAATGTAATCCCTCATTGAATATCTCTCTAATCCGTCTTTCTGGACAAATGCAACGTGTCCCTAGGGTTAACCCATATACTAAGACAAATATACTACAGTACCGGCTTTTTTATTACCTTTTATTCAGCAGCTACAATCACCACAAGTAGCTTCTTTATAGCATGACAGGCAATATCAATAAAATAAAAGTCGACACTCCTCGGCTGCTTTCCTTAAATAATTAATTGATTAATTAAGAGTGACCATTACAATAATTGTTACTATTTCTGACTTTAAATGTATAAGGAAGCTGACTTTTACAAGGCTACCCGGACAGTTTTAAGACCTCTTGGGTTTCTTTCAAAATATTGCTTTCCTCTAAAAGCCCACTTGCAGTTATAACTTATTTGCATGTGTATTTTATGGTTAATTTTGTCATAGTATGATGAAACAATGTGCCATACTGTAGGTGGAAGTGCACTCAAAAGTATCTAGAGAGAGCCAAAAGACTGTTTGCTAGCTTTAAGACTGGAAAAGGGGGGAAACTGCTAGCCTGGGTCTCTGCAAAGGTAACAAAATATGGCTACCATCACCGCAAGACCAGTATTGTTTTTTAACTGATTTGACTTTCACCTAAACAAACGTTATTGACATGTGCTTGTTGGAGGACTTTGTTACCTTTTACCCAGGCTAGCAGCTTTCAGTCTTTTTGCTAAGCTAAGCTAGCTGGAGTTAGCTTCATGCTTAGCAGACAAACATGAGTGATATTAATCTTTTAATCTGACTCGGCAAGAAAACACATAAACATACATGTATTCCACAATATGTGAAACTTAGTGCTTAAGGTTCAACATACATGGGATATGATGACTTACAGTTATACCATGAGATTAAAGACATTATTACTGCTTATCGGGCCATGGACAAAATTATTAACCTGTGTCCTTATTTCGAGGGATGGATGGATTTGAACATGTTGTGATCTGAAAGCCCCATGAACTGTTGTCTGGGGACGGGGGTGCTGCTTCCCAACGGAGGAGCCCATGCCGTCCCCAGTTAAAGGATGTGTCCCCCTGGCCTGGCTGGTGGTAGAATTGGGCTTATTCCCCGGAATCCCAGACACATTCCAGAGGAAATGAACGCTGGTGTCGCCTGTGGGGGCGTGAAGAGCCTCTCTGCCACAGCGTCTGTCTCCTCTGGGCTGTCTTTGATCCGCCTGTTTACTGAAGACCCCCACTAGGCCACTTCCTGTCCCCTAGGGCCCTCGCCAGTGTCTCCCCATGCAACCTCCAGCTTCGGAGTCTGTCATTGACCACCCACTTTATCTTTGCTGAATGAATGTTTCCTTTTCCCTCCTCCTGTCTCTTTCACAGTGCCTATACCTTTTCTGTCCATCACCCGAAATTACAATGTAATTCCCCTTTTACTACGTCTGCCCACCTCCTGTCACACTCTAAATCTGGCCTAACCCATGAGATTACATTAATCGAGTGCAGCGTTATTGCATGCCTACAAGACATCTCTCAGTATCTTTCAGTGGTTTCCTCTCTGATCCCTTTTATATAGGATGTCTGTGGTTGCGGGCATTTCTTGTCTGCTAATAAAGATGGAGCCTGTGATGAGCCTGACACTAACCTTTGTCCTACCTGTTCTGTTTTCCTTCCAGTGGTGCAAAGAGTTGACACTGTGTCCGAAGGTATCGCTAACTATGGAGGAAAGATAATTGCTGTCGAGACTGATTTGAAAAAGCTAGGTAAGTTCCATGTATCTGTGGTTAAGCTGCAGTAAAAGAGAAGTGAGAAGCTGAACAGTCTTTGTAACTTTGGCACTCATCTCCCTCGTCAGATGATCAAGCAGGGGCGAAGTCGGAGAATACCACCACAGAGATCCAGGCTTTCAAGAACAACATCTGGTCTCTCCAGAGGCAGCTGTCTGCGGTGGAAGAACGCATCCACAGCGATCAAGTTAAGCTGAGTCAGCTGCAGAACATTGGCTCAGACATCCAAAACAGCCAGGGCTCCATTCAGGGATCGCTGGATAGCAACACAGCCACCTTGCACTCTGTAAATGGCACGCTGCAGTCTCACGGCGGCGCCATTGGAGGCCTGCAGGACGACACCACACGACTTCAGAGAGAACTCCAGCAGCAGGTGAAACTTCAGGACCAGGCCCTGCTCAGCATCAGCGGCCTCAACTTCACCCAGGCCCAGCAGAGAGACCTCATCGCTGTACTGCAACGCTCAGTGGAAGACACTACCCAGGCCATACAGAAAATGCGTAATGACTTTCAGAGCCTGGAGCAAACGGCCAGACAGACGCGTTCGGACACTGAGTGGCTCCGTGGTAAGGTGGAAAACCTCCAGGTCATGGCCGGCAACACCTCAACTCTTGCAAAAGCCAACAACGACAGCCTGGAGGAGGTGGGATCACAACTGGCTTCGGTGGCCAACCAGATCCAGAACACCAGCAGCCTGGCTGATGCCCACGACCAGACCCTCAGGGAGGTGTTGGACCGGCAGAGGGACTTCAGTAACTTTACATCCACCAAGTTTGACCGGCTGGAAGTGCGGCTGGATGAGTCCGAGCAGAGTATGGACCGTGTGACCGGCAACATCAGCTTCACCACGCAGCTCCTGGGCGCCATCAACCTCAACCTGAACGACCTGCGCACTTGTTCCGAGACCGTCGGCCGCCACTCTGACTTCTTGGTGAACCTCAACAACAGCGTGACGGACGTGAGGACAGATGCGTCCAGTCTGAGGTCTCAGCAGGAAGAGCTGGGAGCGCGTATGGACAAGGAGGTCACCAACCTCTCTATTGTCATGGAGGAGATGAAGCTGGTTGACAACAAGCACTCACAGCTAATAACCAACTTCACAATTTTAAAGGGTAAGGAAGGTGTTGTATTAATTAAATAGTTATTTTGAAAGTCAAAGAACTTGATATTTTGGGAGCTTATTCGCATTCTTGCAAGGAATTTGATGAGGAAAATCAAATTCACTCTAATGTTTTACAACACTATGTAAAATAAACTGCAGCCATAGTATTAATCTAAATCCTAGCAAAAAATAACTAAGCGCTCATTGCAAAATGTCACTACCCTTCTTTTTTGGAAAACATTTGAAATCGTGAATTTTTATTTTCAGGCCCTCCTGGTCCCAGAGGTTCAAGAGGGGACAAAGGACCCCAGGGATCAGCTGGTCAGCCTGGCCAGAAGGGAGAAAAAGGTGAAAAGGGTGGTCCGGGGATACGAGGACCCAGAGGAGAGCAGGGTATCCCAGGATCACCAGGTCTACCAGGGTTAAAAGGCATGCCAGGCGTACCCGGCAACCCCGGGTCAAAGGGCTCCCGAGGGTCAGGAGGCAGGGCCGGACCTCCTGGGACAAAAGGAGAGCCGGGTGCTAACGGTCTGCCTGGAAGAGACGGACAGCCTGGTCCTCAGGGGGCACAGGGCCCCCCGGGTATCAGAGGGGCAATGGGGTCAGCTGGTGAGCCGGGTCCAAGGGGACTGCTTGGGCCAGTGGGGCCTCCAGGGTCTCCGGGACCCCCAGGACAACCGGGACAACAAGGGGTCCCAATCCGGGCTCCATCAATTCCTATGGGCCCTGTGTCTCTGCAGGATGAGGCAGTAGCTCCTACTCTTTGGGCCCCAGGTAAAACTTGACATCTTATAAGCTTCAATGTTTCCTTTAATTTCCCAACATCTCAACTATTTAATAATCAAAATGTTGGAGGTATACCAATTTGATCTAACCTTGTTGATAATAATATGGTTGTTTGTGACTTTATGTTTTACAGGATGCCCTTCTGAGTGGGCACACTACAGAGGCAAGTGCTACTTGTTCTCCAAAGACCTGCACAGTTTCGACGATGCAAAGGCGACCTGTGAATCATCTTCTGCTTCATTGTTGATCATCAACGATGTGGAGGAACAGGTGATTAATCATGATTCTCTCTTTAGCACTTTAAGAATGAAATCAGCTAAAATCATTATGCACTGGAATCAAATGTTGTCCTTGTTCTGTAATATGTGAGGTTATATCTCAGTCTTGATGTCCTCGTGTGATCTCAGAAATGGCTGAAGAAGCAGACCTTTGGAAAAGGCTACTTCTGGATGGGTCTGACGGACAGGGAGGAGGAGACCGCTTGGCGCTGGCTGGATGGGACTGAACCTGCTTTCACGTCAGTATGAAATCAGGAAATACCACCATAGGGAACCTTTTATCCTGTGTTAAGCCCCAGCAGGCGGGGGCTACGGGCTTTTTTTTCACGAAACTGTGTCTCAGGGCTCCTTAACATTTAATAAACTAGGAATGTGTCATACTCACTTAACGGGAAGAAACTCAGCTAACTGACAATTTGAACCATTTTTACCGAATCAAAAAACAAGTCTCTCAAGAAGCGTCTAAATGAGCCCTGAGCTATAAAATGCTAACGCACTTAGCACAGAACTCTAGGTATAAATACTTTATTACTTATCAGATCTGTACAAACAAGATATTAGCTAGCAAGCTGAGATTCCACAGATTCCAGAAGTATAAGTATCATCACTGAGCGATCAGAACCCGCGACATGGGAAACAAACCCAGACAACACACAACGTAGCTTTATGGAGCAAAATCGGGACATTTGTCTTACCTTTAGCTGTTTCTGATCAAAAGTTGTGTTCAATGGCATTAAAACGAGAAAAACGCGGTTGAAGGTTAATCCATAGGTTAATCCAATGTGTGTGTGTCACTTTGATTATGTTTACTGATAATCCATCATTCAATTTTCAAACTGAGTTTTCATATTAGCTGCTATGATAGCTACCAGAGTATATCGCAGCTTCCTGTTTTGGGTATTCTGGCTACGCATCACTCTCACTCTCACTCCTTATTTGGTAACGTGTAGGTGGATTTAGGAACTTCCCCTCTATTCTATTGGCTCTAACGGTTAAAAAGAGATGTCAATCATCAAAATCGACCAAGGGGGGCCGGAGATATGGAAAATCCAGCCAAATTACCCCAGAAGTGTTTTTAAAAAAAATCTAAATCTCACTAAAAAGGTAAAATGTCACTTGTTTTGCATCAATCTTGATACAGGGTACTTATTATATGTTATAGTTTGGATTCCTAAAGATTTGAGTCTAACCCATCATTCAAGGGTGTCTATCCCATCATTCAAGGGTAGTTTTCACTATAAGTAATGTATTTCTTTGGACGGACACTATAATTTATGTTTTTTTACTATGTTCAATCTGAATTTACTTTAAAATAAATCTAAAATCTAAATCTATATTGATTCTGACTTTTCTACATCCAACTCACAAGTTTATCATTGCTTTGAGAAAAAACATTATTAATTTACCCCTTTTATAAGTGGAGTTATAGTGATTTGTTCTAGGAATGTCATTTTCGAGCCTGAGACCTGGAAAACAGGCTCAGGGCTTAACAGGTTAATTAGGTGTTGTTCCTCAGATGGGTATTTTGTTTCAGAGCTGCTTTCCAATAATAATAACAAGCCGTAGGTTTTCATTTACATGAAACAACACTATAAAAACATGCAAAGTCTGAACTTTCTGATGTTTTTTGATTGCTTTGAAATGCAAAGCTCCACTGCTATATTCCTGTTGCCCAGTTAAACAAAACAAATACTCTCACATTCAATAAACTTGTATTTGTCAGGGTGGTCAGATCAGACAAGTTCACTCTCTTGCAATGAAAGGAAAAACATTCTCTGCAACTGCAAAAAAAGGATATAGACACCATTATGGAATGTATCAAAACAGCATATAACATATGCACCTTTGGATAGAAGCTTCATTAACCTCAAACAAATCAGATGATTCAACTTCAATTCCTGCTGCAGTTTGTCTCTCTCTCACCGCTGTAGTTTTCCACCATTCTCTTAGAAAAAACCCTGTGTGTCTAATGTTTGATCGCCCCCTCTTGTTTGCCTGCAGGAGGTGGAAGCCCGGTCAGCCTGATGACTGGGGCCACGGGCATGAAATGGGAGAAGACTGCGCAGGGCTCATCCATGAAGGGCTGTGGAATGATTTCTTCTGTGAAGATCTCATAAGCTACATCTGTGAGAAGGAAATGGATACCAGTACGTTGGTTCTTCTCTTCTTTTCCTTTCCAAATGTCCAAAAGTCGAGCTGTCCTAATATCTGTCTTGATCTTTTTTTGCAGCAAGTTTGCCTGAATCGTAGCGATTTCTTGGAAGGGAGCTTGCAGTGAGCAGCTAGACTTCCCCCATGTGGCACTGGTCCACCAGCACAGCACATGGAGAGTCCGTACGGAGAGAGAAAAGGGACAATTTTGAAATAAGCCCAGTGCTGCAGTAGAGAACGTCTCTTTCATGGGGAAGAGATGCCTTTCTCCTCCAAAGTGAACACAGTCCAACATTACCAGCAAGTGCAATACAGCAGGGCAATCACAGAAGGAGGACTTTTATTTTTTAAAGTACCAAATCACCAACTGACTTATATATATATAAATATTTTTATGGTTATTTTAAATACATTTTATAAAACTGTATTCTGCGTGAATGTCTGAATGTATATTTGATTATGCAAGTTTTGTAGGAAGTTATTCACTCTATGAAGCCAAGTGGACTTATCGTAGTGCTTTTCATAACATGTACTGTAATAGTCTTAAAATGAAAAGGTGCAAAATGATGCGCTAAAAACATGAAATGTCGCTGATATGCTATCTTTGAGGAACCGTTTATCTCCCCTCATGAATGTCTATATAGCATTTTCCTTTATATGAGTAGAATCGAAGTAAGCATTTACACATTAATACAGAAATATGTCAAAATCAGCTTGTTTTAGTTCAAGACTGCACATTTACAGTTTAATATGTTACAGTATGTTGTGGTTATGAGATTTATTTTTCACTATTACAGACGTACATATGCTAATGAATATGAATCTGTGGATCCTACAAATATAAAATGTGCCATTTTATGCACTCAGGTAGTTTCCTGTGAAGAAAAACACTTGAGTTTAACAACACTACGAAAAATGAAGGAAACGCTCAAATAAATATGTAAAAACCCACAAGGTGTTTGTATTTGTTGGCTTTTTTTTAACATTTTTATGCAGATCCAGGTAAACTGATCTGGTGTCAGATGGCTTATCTGTCTGCATAAGTGTGACGGTCATCACAAAACTCTCCACAGTATTGTAGAACTTTGTTTATTCATTTTGCACAAAAGAAGGTATTTTCACATTTCTATTGTTTGAAAAATAACTTTCCCAGTGACTGACTTTCATTGTTTCTCTCCTCCCTAACCCAGATTATAAGCAGAAAAGTCGATTTTCGTAGATAACCTTGGGCTATGCAACATTTCCTCTCAATCATTTCACATCCTGTTTTCCTGCTTTAGGTCAACTCCAATCACAGTCACTCCTTAAGCTGCACAGAAGATTGAAATGATGTTACAATAGCACCTTAAATAGGAGGGAACTAACTACCTTTATCAACACGGACATTGGATTCCTTATGTTAAAAAACAAACACAACAGCGACTGAAGACTGAAAGTGCTTACAAAAATCTGAATTGTACTCTCACCTACAGCTGTCTATTGAAAACTACTTTTTGAAGACTTCAAATTTGTTTAAGATGCACTCTTGTAAATGAATTTGACATAGTAAACATCAAAGCAACACAGAAGAATGCAGGAGCCAAGCTGACAAAATGTTAAGTTTGAGCTGTGCTTGCTCTAAGTGATACAGTATGCGAATAATTTAAGAAATATGTTTACTATTAACCGCTCATTTCACATTGCATCATTTACAAACATTCACAAAGAAGCAGCATATTGTCTAAATGTAGATTTATTGTTGAGGTATGATAGAACTATTTCCTCTTTTTTTCTCTTTGCTTTGTACAAAATCTCGGTAGTGGAATACACTTAAAAAAATAATGGGACTGCCAATTGGGTTGCTTTTGGGGTTGATGTTTGGACAACTCAGGAGACACAACTTACAATCTTCCTCACATGTTTCATTTCACATTTCCCTGGAAGCCTCTCTTTTCCCTTTTTCTCTTTCGGGAGGTGTTGTGACTCGTGTTTCAGTGCAACAAGGTGCAGTAAAGGAGTCTCAAGCTCCAGCAAACACTGGGACTGTAAGCATGTTTCCAATTTTACCATTCAGATAGGAATTAATCCTGTAAAGACTTAGGATCAGTTATTGTTGCTCACTACTGGTGAACTCCTTTCTTCGTCGTCCGTGCGGCTCTTCCGGTCCCGTGCGTTGGAGAATGTAACGGCCGATGGGGCTAAAGATGAAGTGGGGGAGGTGAGGGGTGATGGTGGAGGCAGGCTGGCTCAAACGAAGGCGTGAGGTGGTGGCTTTTCTAGTCGTCTTTCTCCACTATGACCTCCCCGTGAAGCACCCTTCTCCTCTGCCGCAGCATGTGGAAGAAGAGCTGAGGGAACACTGTGGGGACAATGAAAATGTTCTGTTAACTGTTCTTTATGCTATAGGCAAAAGTAGTCAGCTGTCTCAAAGCTCACTACATCCGAATTTTAAATAAAAAAGCAGGAGAGCAAGAAACCTTTATAAGTCATGCGAAACAGAATATTGTATATTTGATCTGCAAAATGTATGCATTTTGAAAACTTGTTCATTATCAACTTTTTTAAAGTTATATGTCTTGCATTGGTGTTGTCCTTGATTGAATGTATTACTGTTTACCTGGCACAAAGATGCTATATTAACATCATTGCATCAATACAAAATGTAAAACAAAGATGGCTACCAGTCAGTTTCAGGTTTTGGGAGATGTGCTTATTTGTTCTCTTTCGAAAAGTTAGTAGGCTGAATAAAAAAAAAGCTATAGCCAGAAAAAAGTTAGCCTAGCAGTGACTTCCTGGATACTTGTCATAGGTCAGGGGTCGCCCGACGGCAAATGTGACTCAAGAAATTCCCTGCAACTTTCTAGTTTTCTAGGACATCTTAAGTGAGCTTTAGAGGTCCTAGTGTATGGATTTTGTAACCATTTGACAGACCCAGGCTAACTGTTTCCCATGTTTCGAGTCTTTATGCTAAGCTAAGCTAACTGTCTCATGGCTCCAGCAACATATTTAAGATGGAGACATGATAGAGGCATTGATCTTTTCATCTTACTCTCGGCATAAAAAATAAAACTCTCGAAATTATTCTTTCAGACCATTTGAAATGCTGTTTCTCTGAAGTCTCATGTAGAGAAATATGAACGGTTAAATCCTCACTGAGAGGTAATCTATCTGGGGTCATCCTCCTTTTCATATATTCTCATAACATGGACATAGAAAGTCTCCTTACGTGGGATGTAGGACAGCATGAGGATGATGAGGCAGTAGTAGTAGTCAAAGGACACGTTATACTTGTTGGGGAGCCTCATGGAGTACATTCCAGATCTGCGTACAAACGGCAGGGCAGCATAAATGGTCATCAGTTCCCCGATGACCCCCAGGGGGTAAAGCACGATGAAGAAGTTGTACCTGGGAAGGAAAGGATTTAAACAGTTACACAAATGCAACAAACACACACAGTTTACGGATGTTAAAGCACTCACATGCCTAGGTTTCTACACACACAATTTACACTTAGATTTGAACAAATGCAACCTTTAAAAATTAGTTCAACAGTCAATGCATGATCCATAGAATCTTCTTTTTAATTGTACACATGCACAGTTAGCATAAGCAACAATAATTGTCCTGTTTTGTCTCTTGTATCATTTCCTATCATAAACCTGCTTTTGACAGGTAATCAAACACAACTAAATTGGGTCACGTTGTATTTCTTTAGTTTGTGCTTTTCTTGAAGCTGATGCAATGCAGTGGTGGGTTTTTGGAAAACTCCCACAACTCCAACAAGTGGATTTAGTGGCCTCTGGCTGGGAGTTTGCAGATTACAACCAATCAAACTAATATTCAAAGAATCCAAATAAATCTACACATTGTTCCATTGTTTGTTGGCAGCCAAACAGCAAATGATAATTCAAGAAAGAACAAAATCACGTCCATGTTTGCTCATAATAAATTGTTCTGAGTTGAGGGAACCTACTCGGCTATTTCTACTTTTTAATTGCCTGCTGTTTTTAAATGTAATGTTACCTATTGGAGCAAATTGGAACACTGATAATGGGCGCTGACTCAAACCTAGACATGTTGCTGGGTCTCCTCTGTGAAAAGGGATGTGATTTGGCAGATTTTGAAGTGGGCAAAGCCGCAGGATCAGGTTGCAGATGCTGTCTGAAAACTGCCACTAAGTGATTGATTACAAAGTTAAGAGGTATGTTTTTCATTACTTGGCTTCCATACAGACGATTGCGTGATCAAAAATCAAATCAGTTATTTGGCAGGAAGATAGCTTGGTTAACAAATCTTGGAATACTAAGACAAAACATGTTCCCAAATTCGTCATAAAATCATCTAAGATACTGAATAAAGCTGCTCTTCATAAAGCTATTCACAATCTGTCATCTTGTTGGTTTGCCACTATTACTTCCTGTCACTTGGCATAAGTGTGACATAGCCAGCCTCTCTTTGTGACAGCACAGGGCCTCTGTAGTAGGATATATGCCATGACTCAGGGCTACAGAGGTCCTGTATTTAGTAGGGACCACAGCAAAGGCTCGGGGGAGCATCTCGGCGGATGTGAGAGAAATGTTGGGTGAACATTCCATGACCAAAACGGATGGTCTTAAAAACATGAGCAGCTGAACATGAGCCCCTCTCCCGGGGCCTGGCGTCTCCTCCGTGCTTAAAGAAAGCCGTGAAGGGTGGGGGGCAGGGAAGAGAGTTGCATTAAGTACACAAGGTTTCAAACCCCTAAACAAAAGAGTAACTGGCTCAAGACTGATCACATGACGAGCTGAACTAGCAGACAAAAAACATAGTTTGGGTTTAACCTTCAAACTGCAGACAAGATGTCCCACCTTGGACTTGAGTTGATGTGATATGTAAACGTCACTATCATGAAGTGAGACAGCCTCTCTCTCGGCTGTAAGATGCCAAGCCTGTGTGTTGGGACAGCTATCAATGTGTACAGCTGACGTTCCTGCCAGCGTCTCCAATTTCAGCTGAGCTACTGTAGCAGGGAGACTGCCACGTCACAAGTGCTCTTCATACAGTAGTAGACAGGCATTATGTCACTCTAGAGCTGAGAAATGTGTCGGTCATCACCGCATTATACTGACAACCAGTTGTGTGCTTTCCATGCAGATAATTAAGGCTTTGATTTACACCTTTTGGATTACTATTGTTGTAAGAAATCACGTTTTTTACATAAGAAATATATGCCATTATCTATTTGTATTCTATTTTCAAATCTGTTTTGAAAAATAAACCCTCTTCTGTATCCTTGATTGTCAGAGCACAATTGTTAGCAGTTAGTTCTGTTACCTAATTAGGTGCTAATCAATAAACACACAGGCGATACCTAATACACACACACACACACACGGCAGCACTTCCCAGGGAGGGGAAGCATGCCAGAGGTGAAATCTCCAGATCAGTGCTTAGACATGCTTAGACAACAATGTCTGACACAGTAATGACAATTCAAGCTCATCCCGGCAATGGTATCTCCACCTGGCCCATTTGATGAAGTACGGCAGGTGGTGGAGCAGGTTGAATGTGTAGTAGGAATATCTGGTAATCTCTGTCATCGTCCACACAACCAGGAATAGAATTACGCTTTCTTCACTCTGGATCTTCATTTACGTCAGGAAAAACACGTCAAATATACACAGGAAGGACAGAGTAACTTAAAAATAACGTGCAAATGAGCAATTATGGTAAATACAAAACACATAACAGTACAATAAAGCACAGCTCTTGCAGTTTTCAGATGTGTTGTGTGATGTTTCTGTGTTGTGGCGTGATATTCACCTGTCTGATGCTGTTGGTGACGAACCAAACCATGAATATTCGTGAACACACTTGCACCCCGGTCACAATTACAGAAGTCCTCACAATTCCTGCAGCAAAAAAAGACACATAAAAACAACAGTTTAAAGCTGCAGTAGTTGTCAGTAAGTAATTGTGATTTTTAAACCAATAAG